GAGAGAGGAAAGGTCACTTGCCCAGGGTCACACAACTAGTAAGTTTCTGAGACAGGATTTGTACTCACATCTTCCTGATTCCAAGTTTAGTGCATGATTACTATACCACTTAGATGCTTAAGCTCTCTACACAGCTCAAATGTGTTCATATTACTCCTGGCACCAGTGTTTTGTTAGGGAAAGGTCACTGGATTTGGCATCAAAACACGTATTCAAATAATGTTTTTTCTATCCATATGATCTATCCATATCCATATCCACCACCTTCCTTTCTAAATCTGCTTCTGCTTTGGCCCCTATCTGTTGCATCTCACGTGGTGTTTGGTCATCCATTCATTCACTCAACAGACGTGTACTTCTACTATGTGTCAGGCATTTTGGTTGGCTATGGGAATACAATTACAAAAATAGGTAAATGTTCATCCTCAAGCACATCATATCTATCTCATTGGGGAAGTTTTTACCATTCTGGGACTCAACTTCCCCATTTGTAAAGTGAATGAGTTAAGTTAGATGATCTCTAAGATATTTTGAAGATCTTGTACTTGTCTTTTTATTTACTTTAATAAATTATCTTGCTTTATTCCTATGTACTTGGTGTGTTTAGCTGAGACAAGGGCTTGCTAAAATTGACCTGATGATCTTCTCCTATTTGATCAGGACAGAGTATAATATGCCTTTTTCTGGACTGATTGTTGTTGTTTAGTCATTTTCAGTCATATTCAACTTTGTGACCTCTTTTTGGGGTTTTATTGGCAAAGATACTGGAGCGGTTTACCATTTCCTTCTCCAGTTCATTTTACAGATGAGAAAACTGATGTAAACAGAGTTAAGTAACTTTGCCTAAGGTCAAATAGCTAGTGTCTGAGGTCAGAGTTGAACTGAGGTCTTCCTGATTCCAGGCCTAATGTTCTATCCATTGAGCCACAGAAAGACAATTGTTAAATTTTCAGTGTCAACATTTACATCTCAGAAATAGACAAACACAACAGTTCAGCATTGGATCTACTGTTTTGTTGATTGTCTAAATTCAGGAGATGGAGAAAATATGAATGATGCAGATTAAATTTAAAAAGGGAATTCTGCATTTTCAGATAACTGGTCGGTAAACATTTACCAGCACACTTCTGCCTCCTCACCAGGAAAAAGTATTAGAGGAGGATATCATAGGAGACATAGTGGAAAGAGTTCTAGGTTTGAATTCTGGTTTTACAAAATCTTGGTCAACCTTGGTTAACCTCTCTAAACCTCACTTTCCTTAACTATAAAATAAAATGACAAGATTATATCAGTGGCTCTTTAGACTTTAAATTTATGCTTCTGTGTAATTATCTCACTTTGTGGTAGATTTCCTAACATAATGCCAGAATTCTACCCTGACCATTATTATTATAATGATTAGCATTATTATTTAATTACTATTTAACATTTCTTATTTGTATTAATTACCTTGCTATTTGTATATTGCTTTACTCTTTTAAAGTGTTTTCAGATCATTTTATTAGTTCAACCTCAAAACAGCCTTTTGGGGAGTTTTGGCTGATATCTGTTTGCTTTTTGAAGTATATCTTCATCAAGAGACACAATTCTAAGCCTTATTAATGAGTATAACAAAGCAATGCTGCAAAAACACTGTTAAGGTTGTCAAACCTGGCATACTTGATAGGTCTCTGCCAGGGATGCTTTGAGAATAAAGAAGCTTGTGTTTGAAAATCCCTTTGAGCCCTTTGAAAGAAGGATGCTATAGGAATACAAAAAATGATTTATTCATTTGCTTTGAAACAGAGGAAATCAGTATGATAAAAGGTTGGAAAATTCAAAGGAAATACTTAGCCAGTGGATATAACTGATGCACTAAGTTCTACATAAAAAGAAACTTAACTTAAGGGGGTCATGATTCTCATGAATGATGAACCTTCACTAACAATAGTATCAGTTCACATTTCTATGAGACTTGTCAGTTTCATGGTACTTTCCTTCCTCACAAAAACATTGTGAAATAGGTTGTGCAAATATTATTCTTCCCATTTCAAAAGTGAAGAAACTGAGGTTGAGAGATTAAAGAACATACTCCAAATGACAAAAGTCAGTGGTGGAATTTGGACTTGAGCTATTATGATCCTCAGCCCATTGCTTTTTACTCTAGATTAAATTCTGAGGGGGCCAGGGATTGTATTTTATTTAATCTTTCTATCTTCTCTAAGGTCTACCTCATATGCATATAGTTGGTACCAAATGCAATTTTGTAAGAACAACATTTATATAAATGAAAAGGTTCATTACACTTCCTTAAGGACATTACTAAATTAATTACCATAATACTTAAGTAGTTTCATTAATACTTAAAGAATTATTTAAGTAATTAATAATGTAAGAAGGGTGAGGTTTGTTCTGTCAGTGATATTGTTGTCAAATATGCCATAATAAAAGCAGGAATGTAAAACTTCTCCATCATCACATAGACATTTTTTCCTCACCTAAATTTTTGCATATTTGCATA